ATACCTCAGGATGTGCAGGAATTACAGGCCAAACGGAGCCTCTACGGAATGCCTGAAGTTGAGTTTTGTTCACCAAGCCCCATCCTGGAGGTTTTTATTTAAACATTTTTTTGTACGTCAGGCAGTCCAGACTGGGGTGCCTGACCCCATCCCTTTAGTTTCCAAAATCCCTTTCCATGACCAGGCTGCCAACTGCCCGAAGGTGAGGGTACACAACCCAGATGTTACAGCAGGAACCTGGTGCCAAGATGGCCAAGGACGGGGCGGTCCCATCTCCTCAGGAAGGATGATTCCCTCCATGTCCCCTCCACTCCTGGGACCAGGTGGAGCAGCAGTGACATCACCACTCACCCCATGGCCCTGCGGTGACCCCGCTGTGGGTTTGGGGGTTACTGCTGCCCACGGCTCCCCCTGCCCTTACCCTTGTCCTTCACCAGGGCCTCCAGCTCCTCCCTCAGGCTCTCATGCCAGCGCGGGATGTCCACGTGCAGGCCGTAGTCGCAGCAGGCCTGGCCGTCGGCGTGGCCGCGCCACTGCTCAAAGGCGGCCACGAGGCTGGTCCCGGTGTCCAGGCACACGTGGTCAACTGGGGAGACACTGCACAGTGTTAGGGAGGGGCAGGGGGCACCCAGGGGCACCACAGGTCCCTGTGGGAGACCTGCTGCTATGAGAAGGGGCCATTGCAACACCAGTTCATTTTATAGCGCTGGTTAAACACGATGGGTAATGAATTTCCCAGAAAAAGTGATATAAATGGAACAAGCAAACTCCAAGTTATGGCTACTCTGCCTTCTTTTCACCCAGCACAGCAGTGGGAGTGGCTGGTGACCAGCCCATGTCCTCACATACTTGTGCTCTGGGGCATTTCCCAAGGGTAGCGCCCACTGCCCATCACATCCCTCAGCTCTCCTCCTATTTCCTGCAGCACTGGCTGTGGGGTCAGTAGGGAGCTATGCCAGGACTGTCAAGACTGGTCCTGCAGTCACATACTACAGTGGTTCCTGGGACCAGAACAGGAACAAAACAGAGGTCAAAATTATTTTACATTAACACAAAAAAGGAACCCATGCTCAGAGCTGAGAAACTCAAAAAACACACTTGCAAAGCTGTTCAAAACATATTAAAAGGTGTTTAAAGTGTTCTTCTGTTCAGTTCTCTGATAAGGTGAGCCAGGAGTGGCCATGTATTTTTAATACATGTGTGCAGCAAGGGAAGCAGGTTCTGGAAGGCACATAACACCTTTAATTGGGTTCGTAGTGCTTTGATTTCTCCAGCAGAAATTAACATTTCTGTGCTACGAGGGTAAATATCTCTGCAGTGGTTCCAGGCCTGGTGTATTTTGCTAGACAACGTTCTGCTTAGAAGCCTTGTTGGAATGTGCTCCCCCTTACTGATCATGGTGGTGCCTCCTGCCAGCGCTGCCTTGGTGCCCTGGGAGAAGCCGTCAGCCGAGCTCAGCCCCAGCACCGGTGCCTGCAGTCGCGTGTGGGCGTCGATGCCCCCTGGCATCACCAGCTGCCCATAGGCATCCACTGTCCTGGTGCCACCAGGGACAATCAGGTTTTCTCCGATTTGTCTGAAAAGGAAATCAAGATCTCCTGTTAACTGGCAACAACTTTGAAGTGAAGATGCCAAAAAAACTTCCGTCTGCAAGGCCGGGTTCTCCTCAGGCTGCCGGTGCTTTGGAAGTCTTTCCAGCTGCAGAACTACACCAGTGTAGCTCTTTCTTGATACTACTCTAAAAAGCTACCTTTTTTTTTGAAAAGGGAACAGATTTCCAAGAGAAAAATGATGGGAAGGAACCTTGTTCAAATCTCACAGCACTGTATCATTCTAAGAAATTACATTACCGAATATAAATTTTTAACTTACTTTATTAAACCGTCCTCCACGTAAACGTCTGCATAAAATGACTGATCATCGTTGACAATTTTTCCTCCTTTGATTAGAAGCTGGTCACTCTAATGGGAAAAAACCATATTATTTTAAAGATTCCTTTATTTAGATGCCACTTTACTCATTCTGAGCTTTATTAAGTCTAGGACTTAATATTTTCCCTGCAATCACACCATTATAGTGACTATGCAGACTACTCTACAACTGCATTTGCAAAGGGAAACACATAAATTTGTCATTTGGAGGAGCACAGATCCCTCAAGGAGACAGGGGAGCAGAGGGAGCACCAGTACCCCCAGCTCCAAGGGCTGAGCCACGTCTCTTAGCTGTGTTCCTGCCTCCTCTCTCAGCTCTGGGTACAGAGACTTCTCAGTGCATCTCATTAACCTGGTAATTTATTGCCATTCATTAGTTTTCACAGTCTGGATGCAGATAAAGCCTCGAGGACTCGCCTCACTTCAAAGCCAGACACTGGCACAGTTGTCAGATTTGCAGAATCTTTACCCAGAATCTTTAACTAGAAAATTTAGGAAGCAGCAGCGCTGATGTCAGTGTGGAGCTGCAACCTAATTTCAGAGGATTCCTTTCCTGCTCTCTGGTGTTGCTAAAAAAGCTATCAACAAGGCTGAAATAAGCAACACAAAGAGCATGGCCTGGGCACAAAACCAGCCGAGGGAATCCCGAGCACGTGGCAGCACAGTCTGGAGATGCTGCACCACACAGCAGATGAAAAACTGCCTGGAAACATTTGGGGGTTGTTTAAAAAAAATCTGCTGTCTTAAAAAAAAATAAATTAAAGAATTATGTTGCGTTTTTTGAACTATCAAAGATTTATCGTGTCTTTATTGTTTTCCCTTGTCCCATAACATCAATCAAAGAAGCCTTAGTGTTGCTGCCCCACAGAGAGCCTGACGGCCCCTCCCTCCCCTTGTGGGGCTCATCTTCACCCCATGCCCACCCCTATCCTCACTCCGTCCCTCATCCTCTCCCCCATCCCCATCTTCACTCCAGCCTCATCCTCCCCCCATCCTCATCCTCACCCCATTCTCATCCTCATCTCATTCACATCCTCAACCTCCCCCCATCCCCATCCTCACACTCATCCCATCTTCACCCCCACAACAGCCCCCCACACCCAGGATCTGCTCCCCCAGCCCAGTAACGCGGCTGGTCCCCGGCTCCCGTACCCACGGGGATTTTCCCAAGGGAGCTCTGCCACGAGCCAGCAGGAGTGGAAAAAACAAAACAAGGCATCACTATCGAGGGATTTTTCCCGACTCCTGCTGGGAAGTGCTGGCGCCGGGAGGAGGGAAATCCCTCCCACACAGCCCGGCCGGGGAGCGCCCGCGGCTCCGAACGAGCGGCAGCGCCGGGAGAGCCGCGGGGAGACCGGGGGGTGCGGGCGGGGACCCCCGGGCTGGGGCGGCGGGATCCGTGCGGGGAGCAGGGACACGGCGGAAAGATGCTCACGCTCCCCAAGCCCGTTCCGCGATAAAAGCACTTCCAAGCACATTTCCCTCCCCAGCGCCGAAGGGAAGCCGTGTCGGCGGCGGGGCAGCCCCGCGGCCGCACCGAGGGGCGCGCCCGCCTTTGTCCCCCCGGGGCGGCCCCGGGACAAAGCGCCGGGTCCGGCCGGGCCGGCAACAAAGGAGCGGCGGGGCGGGGGACCCGCACGGCGCGACCACCCCGGGCAGGGGCCGGCACCGCCGGGCGCCCACCCTGGGGGGCAGCAGGACCGCCGGCGCTGCCCGGGGTGCGGGGACCGCCCGCCCCGCTCCATCTCCGCCGGCCGGGGGGACCCGCAGCCCCCCGCCCCGGCTCGCAGCCTCCGGGGGTCTCGCACCCCGCGCCCCGCACGGGAGCCCCTCACCGTGGTGCGGGTCGCGCTCTTCTTGCCCTGGTGCGACATCTCCTCGCCGCCGCCGCCGCCGAGGGTGTGCGGGGCTCGTGCGCGTGCCCGCGGCTGCGCGTCCCCGCCTACGTGCGCGCCCCCCGCCCGCCCCGGCCGCACTCCCGGAGCCGCGGACGGAGCCGGGGATTGCGGGGGCCGAGCGGGACCAAGCGGGGCCGGGCCGGTCCCGCAGCCCCCGCCGGTCCCGGGGCTGGCGGGGCCTGTGACAGTTCTGTCTCCCGAGGGAGAAGCGACCGCTCGGCGCCCTCGGACCGAACGCCGCACAAACCCCGCTCGCCGGGCTCGTCCCAGCGCCTCGTCCCGGCGCGGGGCTCCCGCGGACCGGCGGGTTTGGAACGGGACGGGAAGGGACGGGATGGGATGGGATGGGAAGAAACGGGACGGGACCGGACGGGACAGGAGGAAACGGGACCGAATGGGGCTCCCGCTCGCCTTCCCTGCGGGGTCTCGGCCGAGGTGGCTCTGGGAGGTGCCCTAGCCCCTGTCCCGGCGCAGCCCCGGTACCTGCCGGCAGCCGTCGCGCAGCTCCGCCGGGGCGGCGGCTCTCGGGAGCGGCGCGGCGGCGACGGGGCGGGGGTCAGTGTCCGGGCTGGGTCTCGTGTCGGGGCTGGGTCTCGGGTCGGGGCTGGGTCTCGGGTCGGTGTCGCGGCGGTGGCCCCCGACGGGTGTCCCTGTTCCGGAGGCAGCGAGCGAGGCGAAGTTCAGAGTCTTGTTGTCGAACGCATCCTCCACGCTGCAGAACATCCCGCCGCGCTTCTGCCGCGGCCGCGGGCTGCCCGCACCCAGCCCCGCAAAGCAGGCGGGCAGAGCCTCCTCCTGCCGCCCCGACATGGGCCCGGGACCCCCGCGTTCCCCCGGTGCCGGTGCCACTGCGCTCCCGCAGCCGGCTCGCCCTGGGGAGAAGAGCCCAGCGCTGCGTTAAGAGCCGCCCAGGGACCCCCCCGCCCCTCCTGGTGCCCATCCACCCGTGCCCATCACCACGAACGACCGGGAGGTGACATCTCCCAGCGCCAGTGACGGCAGAGACAGCGCGGTTGGCCCCCCGAAGGCCCCCCCGGCCCTCCCACTGGCCATCTCCCGGTGCCCCAGTGCCGCCAGTGTCGCAGTCCACCTTCCCCATCGCCTCAGCCCCAAACCAATTAATCCAATTTGAAGGTTTAAAACAGATCTTTTTATTAAAAGTTGACAATAATTTATGTATTTTACAAAGGAATAGAAAGTCTGTCCATATATATCATAGGAATCACGATACAAAAATATGTGTAAAATTCTGTACTCAATCGCTCCAGCCCCTGGTTTTGGGCTGTTGCAGCACTGAACCCAATGTTCTGTATTTTGGATATGATTTTGGGGTTGGATTAGAGGACACAGGTCACACCGGCCAGGGGACCAAAAAACTCCATTTTCTCCGCGTTAATGTTTTGCATAAGTTTACAATAATCCCTTTTTATAAACTGTACAACACATCATACAGGGTTTAATACACGTATTCACAGGGCGATTTCCTGAGTCGAAGCTAAACCTGTTCCTGTGCACACACACGCTGCCGGGGCCAAGGAGCTGGTGCCGGTTCAGGGGCATTGTCTCTTCCTGGTCAGGAATTCAGTTCACAAGCCGTGTAAGGCACTCAAGGAATCACTGAAGGCTACAGATATTATAAAGCAGAATACTGGAAATAACAGCCACATCCTCAAACAGCTTGAACAAGAAGTCCAGGCCTGACACACACATGGCGGTGGGTTTGGGGTGAAGGGGTGGCCCCCCCTCCTCCTGCTGCTGTACACCCGCACCGAGGGGCTGCAGGAACCCCCCAGGTGAGGGCACTGTCCCCTCACCGTGGTCCTGTGGCTTGGAGACCGCGTTTTAGAAGATGCACCAGAGCCAGAGGTGAGGAAGGAGCAGCTGAGACCTGGCACAGCTCATCTCATGGACAGCACCGGCTCCAGCTCGGCCCCAAGCCACGGCCAGGGACTGATCGAACAAACTCATCACACAGAGCCCAGAGGGGTCACAGACAGAGACCAAGAACCCAGCGGAATCCCTTCCTGTGGAGTCAGGGAGCACATGGATGTCAATCCCCTCTGTGCATTTATACAGAGCAAACAGTTCCGAAAACATTCTTGGAGCCATTTTTTCTTTCCTATGTACAAATCTTCTTACATATTTACATTGACATATAGATAAGCACAATCCCTTATTTACACACAGATCTGTCCTGTACAGTTGGCTTTGTAATTAAAACCCCCAGGATTAAGGAAGTCAAGTTAATGGGAAAACAGAACTGATACTTGAGACAGAAACACACAACAGGCAAGAGCACAGCCTGAGTGAAGAGCCATGTGATGGACCCAAGTCACTTCCTAACACACACCTCAACCATCACCTGCAGGGCTTCCAGTAAATACAATATTTTAAGACATGAAGTGTTTCAGTAGAACTCAAAATGGACCTGTTTTAGGTGAGAAATGCAGAAGCAAAAATGCAGCTCATCCTGGAATCCCAGCACTGGTATCAGGATCTGGTAGAATTGGAGTTTGTTAAATTAATTCCATAATATAATCATTTGCTGATATCAAAATCCACAACCTTTGCCTTAAAACGTTGCATCCATCCAGTACCAATATCACATTTGAACAACTTACTCCGTTTCCATAGCTGAGCTCCCTGTGCTGGGTTAAAAGAGGTGGTCAGTGTACAAGTGTGGGGAGAGGGTTTAGAATTTTAGTATCAAGGGGTTTTCTTCGTAGCTTTACAAACTCCAGCCAAGCTTTGGAAGCAGTGCAGGTACCTACAGAACAAAATAAACACAGCAATTAACTACAGCTGGGCTCCTCTCCCCCACATGGGATTTTCAGTTCCATTCCATGGGCTGTGCTGCGTTGTGTTAAGCAGCTCTCAGTTAAGTCTAAGTTGGCACAGGCTTAGCCAATTGCTGGATTTTCCCTGAAAAAAAAAGAGGTCATTTATTAAATGTTAAATGTACTGTTTTCTCTAGGCTGTGCCATAGATATCATATAATTCATTTTCCTTAATCAACACTCCCCTAACAGTTTTGGGTAACACTCAGAATATTGTGATGATAGTGATGAATGAAGAATTTAAAGTTTGCCTCATCTGACAAGCTCTGACAGAACAAGCTGATAACCATGGAGCCAAATTCCACCTCCTCAGGTGAGGAGAGATAGCACAAAGGACGTGGTGCCCATAGGTGGGAGGGTGGTCCTGCAGCTGCCCTGACCCTTCCTGTGCACCTCCTTGGACCTATCTCTGTGTTCTCTATTTCACACTCAGCTACAAGACCACTGCCAGATGGAAAGGGAATTTCTGGGGCAGACACATGGGAAGCAGAACAGTTCAGCCAATGACTAGAAAGGAGAGAACCCCCCATTCCCTGACCCTTCTCCATCCCCCTTTCCATGTCTCTTCTCCCCCCAGACCTCACTAGCAGCTGAATCCCCCCTCCCCAGCACAGCCCCCGCACTGTGCAGGGAATGAATTAACCCTTCCCTGCCTACTCGGCCAGCAGGTCAGAGAATCCCAGACTGGGTTGGGCTGGAAGGGACCTTAAAGCTCACCTCATTCCACCCCCTGCCATGGGCAGGGACACCTTTCACCACACCAGGTCCTGGAGGTCAGGTGGCCCTTTCGTCCCTCCCCAGTAGGCCCTAGACAGGGACACACTGCTCACAGGGGGACAGTAACACCCCAAGAATTCTCAGAAGCAATTCCTGAAAAGACACAGAACTTAAGAGAAACCAAGAGTAACACCGGCTTTTCCAGATGCCACTTTGCTTTATGCCCGGCTCTGTCACTGCTCATGGCACCGGGGTGGCAGCGCCGGGCACGGCGAGGCCGTCACAACGGGTTTGGGTGAAGGCAGATGTGGTGTCTGCGCTGGGACTGCGGCGCTGCCACTTCAAATGTCACTCAGTGCGCCCGGGGCTGCCCGGGGCTGGCCGTGCCTCAGATAAAAGGCACAGTTACCATTCTCTCACCCCGCAATCTCCTGCCAAAGAGGGATTTTTTTAACAGAAAGCTGTACAAATGGGACAAAAGCCTTTCAGAAATGGTAATGGACGGAGCACTAATATTTGTGCATCTGAGCGTTCACAGCTTGTGGAAAACGGCAGCTTTGCTGGATAGAGCAGTGCAGGAATGCAATTCCTCAAAGATTATGGGTCACATTTCATATGGGAGAGGAATCATAGAATCCCAGACTGAGTTGGGCTGGAAGGGACCTTAAAACTCACCTCATTGCACCCCCTGCCATGGGCTGGGACACCTTCCACTATCCCAGGTTGCTCCAAGCCCCATCCAGCCTGGCTTTGAACAATTCTAGGGATCCAAGGGCAGCCACAGCTTCTCTGGGCAACCTGTGCCAGGGCCCCACCACTCTCACAGGGAAGAGTTTCTTCTGTACAACCAACCTAAATTTCCCTCTTTCAGTTTGAACCCATTACTCCTTGTCCTGTCACTACATTTCCCAATGGAGAATGATCACCTTCATCAGCACAGCCTCTTAGCAAGGCTGCAATGGAAGGAGGCATATGTATATAAATATACATATATATGTTTCTTTCTTTATAACTGGTGCTAAGGGGATTTGCTGGGTTTGTTTAAACACATCACCCTGAGCTGGAAATCCCATTTCTACACTCTTGCCATCCGTGTGCCCCAGCAAGGGGCTGGTGGCAGTGGCTGAGCCCACCAGTGGTGGCAGTGGTGGAGCTTGGAACGCAATTTGGAATCCAGCTTGGGACCTACGAAGTTATGGGGGTTTACAGCAGATAAAGATCAGGGTACTAATAGTTACGGATCTTTCCATACTTACAGAAATTACACCTGCAACCCCAGCTTGGACTCAATGCACCTGATGTGATTTTTGCTAACACCTGCCTGTGTGAGCAGGATGAGGGGGTGAAGACCACTCAGGTAATTATCTACTTAGTGAAAATTAGTCTCTGCAAAAATTCAGATTCTGACTGCATTTGAGGCCACACAGCCATGGCTTTTGTGGCAGGAGGAAGGGTAACTGGCTCCGAGAATCTCAGCAATCAGCAGCCCTTCATTGTCAGTGGGTTACTAAAGCTAAGAGCACTGTTTTGCAGGACATCCCAGTGAACATATCCAATGGTGTGCTTTGTTTCTGACCATACTGACTTGGAAAATTCTGGGGTTTTCCTGCCTTAAGACTGTCATATCTACCAATGGAAGGAAAATTACTGACCGGACCCATTTATGCTGACAAACCCTGTGAGCTTAGCAGAAACTGCCCACAAGCATAAAAGCACTTCACCTCATTAATATTTATGGCCTGGAATCTGAAATGCCCTTCCTGGGCCCCCGAAGCTTTCCAGCATCTCCAGGGCCTGGGGGGAGGCTGGAGCTGGGCTGAGGATGTCAGGCACTGCTGGAGCCTGTGCCCCTCACCTCCACCACTGCTCTGCCAGGTCGGGACTAACAGGAACAAGCAGCACAGCTGAGTTTTAACCATTTCTGGTCACTTTTCTACACAGTTTTGTGCCATAAGCAACCCACAGGTAGGGCAGAGCTGGGTTTCTGGCATCGCCCTCCTGCACTGCAATCAGAATGTCGGGGACTCTGTCACCACAATCAGGCTTTACCTGTCCCTTGCCAATGAAGACAGGAGGAATTCTGACACAGACACGCTATAAACTGCTTCTGCTACAGGATAAAATAGTGCTGGTCCCTTGAGGCTTGATAGCGGGGCTTTAAAAAGCTGTTTCCTTCCATTACAAATCATTTATTTGTGATAAAATCTTGATACTACTCATTTTGCACACACAAATGTATGTGCACAGAAGCCTACGGCATTTTCTTTTCATGTTGGACTTCGAAGCAGTGTATAACAAAGAATGGGCAGAACATTTATAATTAAAACTATTAAATGACTCCTACCCCACCTAAAAAGCAGCATGTGTGAGCACAGCCCTGGTTCTTGTACTCCCACCAGAACAGGTTAAATGGATCTATTTTAACTCTGCATTGCTTTCACAAAAATGGCTGATTCTGCACTGAAAACTGTTAGTTTTGTCCTTTAGAAACCTGGTTTAGGTTAATTGCTGGTATCATCCCCTAATTATCAGGGGTATTTCATTTGGGTACATGGTGCGTATGAGTGAATGTGATACACTTATATATACTTTTCATGTAATTTGTAAATCATATTAAAATGTCTTTTTAAAAGACAAATCTCTTGGAAGACAGTCATTATGGTGATGGAAAACACATACAATAGCTATAAAATATACATGTTGTGTAATACATAAAATGCTGGGCAATATCCCTATTTTTTACACACATAAACAGCATCAATTTGTTTTCCAACTAAATAAAATAAGAGAAGAAGAAAGAGAAGCTGTGGCTGCCCCATCCCTGGCAGTGTCCAAGGCCAGGTTGGACAGGGCTTGTGAGACAGTGGAAGGTGTCCCTGCCCATGTCTGGGAGTAGAATGAGATGCGTTTTAAGGTCCCTTCCAACAAAAACCATTCTGGGATTCTAATTTAAAATATTTGTCTTCTCTATTTGCAATAATGGGGATTTTATAAATGTCACTGTCAGTTAAGCCTTAGAGAAATCTCTGTTTGTAAGGCCTGGGCAGCGAATTCATGACTGGAATCCCTTATGGCACCTGTGTCCATCTGCTGCCACAGCTGGAAGGGCTGGAACGACCCTCAGGACATAAATCCTTGGGCTGGGAGTGTCTCCAGGGGCAGCTGGGATCAGGAATGTGGTGTTTGAGGGGCTCCCAGGAGAACTGCAGACAAAGCAGCCATTCAGCTCCACTCAGCCTGGGCAGATGGGGATGGATTTTCTGTCCTTTCCCAATGGACCTGCGGGAACAGGAGCAGGTTGGTGGCAGCAACCGGCGCGCCGGAGGTCCTGGGGCAGGGGGAGTGGGATGGTGGGATGGCACCTCTCCAGGCTCACCTCCAGCAGCCCTCCCTGTCCAGACCTGCTCACGTGCAGGTGTCACACAATCACAGCATCATGGAATACCCTGAGTTGGAAGGGACTCACAAGGACCATCCAGTCCAACTCCTGGCCCTGCTCAGGACACCTCAAAGTCCCACCCTGTCCTTGAGAATGTTGTCCAAATGCTCTTTGAGCTCTGGCAGCCTTGAGGCCGTAACCACTGCCCTTCTCATGACTTCTGGTCTCTTCCAAAACATATGCTCCAATGCTAAATCCATGGCCAGGTCTCCCCTACAGCGTGAAGCCATAATTACACAACACAGAAGGGAATAAACCACCCCCTGGTTCACCTGTTCTGCACATCAGCTCTGAAGGGCAGTGGAAACAAATAAAAAAACAGCTCTGAGAAATAATAAAGCATCACACCCTGTCGAGAATGGTCACTCTCCAGCATTATTCCTATCACAGACCCCTGGGCACAGGGAGGGAGGAGCTGCAGCTCTGGCACAGGACAGTTCAGCAGGATGGGCACGCAGGCAAGCTGAAAATGCAGCACTAAAGCAGGATAACACCTCAGCCTCCCCATTACTTGCTCCTGGGGAAAAGGCACACAAGAGTGTTCCCCAGCAGGAACCCTGGGCCTCTGGGTGATGGCACTGCTCAATCCCACTGGAACATCCTTCTCTTGCCTTCCTTAGTATGGAGGGTTTAGGAAACACAGCTGCAATTAACACTCTCAGAGATCTGGTACATTATAAATGTACAGCCCCCAGAATCCTACAGTCACTCACTCAGTATAATCAGCACAGGGTGAAAAGTGGCTTTGATTTGATGGTGGGTGAGTATTTTACA